AAACTTATATGTAAAATTATGCAAATTTCTACCCGTATATAAAAGCCATGATACTAGTTCTGCAGATAATTTTAAATATCGACACGTTTAATATTATTAAATTTTCATTTGAGCACTTGCCCAACAGATTTAGTTTACTTAGTTTGTGCGAAAACATATATAATCAAATTACAATGTATATATGTAATTTAGATCCGTAACTATCATGCCGAAATCAATGACTTAATCGGAACGGCCGAAAAATCATTCGGTCAATTTTTATCAGGGGTTCCAGGAATTATGAAAATAGCAGTAATATATTTAATGCAATTATTAATGCACATTGCGGCGAATTTATTGTAAAATAATATAGATAACGTCTAACCCATCTTCTCGTGTAATTTACGCAGGAAGATGGGTTAGACGTTATCTATATGATTTTACAATAAGAAATGTCAAGCAACAAATAGTAAATGACGCACTTCGTAGTGAGTCAAAATGCTCTGATTTCATAAATTCGCCGTAATGGAAAGAATCACCAAATACGAAGGTATTCCAGAGAAATTTAGTAAGATTAGATTTCCGTAAAATTAGCAAACGCTAGTAAATAAGCTTAAAAAACGTGCATTCAATAACTTGAAATTAGCATAATTCTTATATAAGTAAGAAGTTAACAGCATCTTTCGGACGCGTTATTTTTAAACCATTATTATTTTAATTAAAGCTTTCAAACTAAAAAAAAAAACTTAATTACAAAATGGTGTAGTGATATTGCTGCTAGATATTTCAGATTTTGAAAATTTGGGCGATTATTGACAATATACAACCATATCAACAAGTTATAGATAAAACTCTTTAGGATGACTTGTTGCGTTTGTAGTCGACTAAATCAACTAAACCGATATTTAAAACCTGGTTAAGTCAACTATGCCAACTCGATCGTTTGTGATTTACAGATATGGTCGACCAAGTCGACTTTATCGACTACATAACTGATCGATTAATAAGTTTATGTAAACATTGATCCTAATTTATCTGAATGTAAACCTTAATATGAACCGAACATTATGAAAGTTTCATAAGACCTATAAGTTTCGTTATAGTGAACCTCTTATTATAGTGAAGAACAGTTTATATGAAAACCCTCTCAATATAATGAGACTCTTGATATAGTGAAGAAAATCTCTCAGCCTGATCACATCACTATAACGAGGGTGACGCATAGTGATAAATTGATCTGACGTATCTCAGAATCAACTTTCGATCTAAGTTTGACTGCGACGCGCGGCATATTGTGATCTATTATTGCTAAATTATTCGACTATTATTTGCAATGATAATATGTAACTATTAATACGAAATACTTGCATAATTATACACTAAAGTAATGCGCTTCAACGAAACTGATCATACAAAAATATTTTCATTATTACATAAAGATCGCAAAGATTTGCCTTTGCGCATGAGTAAAAAAGCATCAATGATCCTATTAATTGCTTCATGTTTGTTGTTTAGTATGCCCAAAAAGTATAAAACTCTGAAACCCCAGATCTTTTCTCCAGGCAAAAAAATAAAATAAAATAAAATAAAACAAAACAAAATGCATTTCAACATTATTAAAAAATCTTTTATTGTCCTTTTCTCTCTAATGACTATAGTCTCAATTTTCACTGTTTCCACAATTTCTGCACCGATTAGTGTGCAATCAGAGACCAACGCTCCAATCGTGTCTACCATGCCTCTTAAAAAACAATTAATTGCCATTCCAATTTCTTCTCTTGGAGCTCTTGGTTTTGGAAATCTTGGTTTTGGAAATCTTGGCTTTGGAAATCTTGGTTTTGGAACTGGTCTTGGTTTTGGCACCTTTGGCAATACCTTCAGCGGAATTAATTCCGATTTCGGAGCAAAAGCTCTTTCATCAGGTGGTGTTGGTGGGATTCTTAAGAAGCGTGCTGACGATGATGATAATGTCATCGGATTCGTTGAACGTGGAATTGTTCCCGGCTCTGCCAGTTCTATTATACCATTTCTAGGAGCAATGGATGGATTTGGAATATATTGATAAATTAATGTTTTGTAAATACGTATATTTAAAAAAGCAAAATTTAGGTTAAAGAAAAAAATATATGCAAGAATATGAAAATTAGTAATATTAATTAGTCATTATAATAATAAATGTTCGAAAGTTCCTTTTAATAATTAAGTGTATTTTTAAATTCATACGTATCATTTCTTATTAAACTATTTTCTCGTGAATAAAACCATATTTGTTCAAAGTTAACCTATATCTAGTAAAATTCTTAATCATGATTGGTTGACAATTTTGAGAGAAGATATTCCTAACGCTAATCAAATTCGATGAGTAGAATTAAATAAAATATCAAGATATTTGATCAAATTGTTAAAAAGTTAGGTATCTTGATAACAATCTAATTAATTTTGGATATTTTTGTTTGATTATCTCTTAAACTATTTTCCAGGCAAATTTGTCTGAAATTTCTGAAATTTCTAAATTATAACAAATATTTTGAAGAACCAAATTATACTAAGTAAAAGATCCCTAATGCAGTGTTGTCACGGAACAGTTGTGGACAGTAAGTTTGGACACTTTGGACAATTTTGAACAATCAAATAAACTAGGAAACGAGCCTAGAATTTTAAACTATTTTCTATTATTAATTTTACTTTGAATTTCAAAATACTATTTTATGAGTTACTTATCTTTATCATTTAATTTATGTGCATTTTCTTCATAATTCGAGCCAACTTACAAATAAATTTACCAGATTTGGACCAAACGCAAAAGGACTATAAAAAAGATATAGTTTAATAAATTAATAATTCAAAATGTCATAATTCTGTAATAAAATTATTAAGTTTCATAATCCTGATTATTAGAATTAGTTTGATCAAATAATTATCATAATTAATTGTAACAAACGAAAAAAAGGGTTGAATATCTTGCACGTGTTTGCGTTTATGGTTATGAATTTTTTAAATTTTGGAATTTCATCCATTCTTGATAACAATTTTTCAGGTATTATTCAGATTTTATATTCAGATATAAATAAAAATTAACTTGTTGATTATTTTAAGAGAAATTAAGGCTGCATCATATTTAAGTGCTGATTTGTCATGTTATAATAATATCTTTTGATTATTTGCATTATTTCTTTTTATTTTTTTATTTATTTTTACATTATACTATACATTTTATTTTTACATAGTTTAATAATTTAAATAATTTTTATTCATATTTACCATTATAAAAACAATACATTTTTGGTTATATTTTTAAAAAATTTTATTATATTATTTTAATTAAGACTATCTTTGTAATTTTTGTATATGCATTTAGAAGGAATCCAGTCATAATATACTGTATTAGATATTAATATTTATGTTATATTCTCCTTTTATATTCTCTTTTTAACGATTATTTCTTCATATTAAAATATATTTATTATTTATTTATTTATTGTTATTGTTATGTACAGAAAAAATAACTTTTTGTTTGTATAAAAATCTGCATAATGAATATAAATTTAATTTTTATATTTATGAATAATACAAAATATCTCAGGTAAATTAAATATCTATTTTTACAGAGACATCTGTAACAGAGGTCTGGATAGTAAGTCCTCTACTCCGCTTCAGACAATTAAAATTATTTAAAGATAACCTATATTATTTTCTAAGTAAAATATGTTTAGCATCTAAAAAAATATACAAGTCACTTTCATTATAGTGAAGTAATCTGTTTCATTAATAAAATTTTTTAAAAATTTATTATATCAAGAATTTTATTAGTAAATTTACTATATTGAGAGAATTTTATATAAACTATTTTATGAGTTACTTATCTTTATCATTTAATTTATATGCATTTTCTTCATAATTCGAGCCAAATTACAAATAAATTCACCAGATTTGGACCAAACGCAAGAGAACTATAAAAAAGATATAGTTTAATAAATTAATAATTC